TTTAGTAGAGACGGGGTTTCACCATGTTGACCAGGATGGTCTCGATCTCTTGACCTCATGATCCACCCGCCTCGGCCTCCCAAAGTGCTGGGATTACAGGCTTGAGCCACCACGCCCAGCCATGTCTTTTTCCATGGTAAGTGCTTTTCCTGTTGTCTGTTTTCCTGCCAAATTTTATTTTAAAAATATAAAAGCTATGCATACAGCATATATGTATAATCCTTTTTCTGAGCGCTGAACCATTTGAAGGTAAATAGTGTAACGCTTTCCCCACTAAGTGCTTCAGCCGCTCAGCTCCTAAGACCACGGACGTTCTTTTACACAACTATAACATCGATACACCTGGGACATTAGACATCAATAAAATAAAAGTAGCTGATGTACAGATCATATTCAAATTTCTTCAAGTTTTAACAAATAATCTTTACGTCTATGCTTTTTAGATTCCAGATCTAATCAACAGTCACACATTGCATTTAGATGTCATATGAGTTAGTCTTATTTTATTTTATTATTAAAAAAATTTTTTTTCCGTTATGGAGACAGGGTCTCACTATGTTGCCCAGGGTGATCTTGAACTCCTGAACTCAAGTAACCCTCCTTCCTCTGCCTCTCAGAGCGCTAGAATTAAAGGCTCACTGCCGAGCCCAGCCCGTGCGTTTTAGTCTTTTTTAATGTACAGCAGTATCCTGTGTTTGTATTTTATTTTTCATGATATTGATATATGTATGCGTGTATGTGTATGTGCGTGCGTGTGTGCATGCGTGTGTGTGTATTTTGATTTTAGAGACAAAGCCTCACTCTGTTGCCCAGGCTAGCATGCAGTGGTGCAGTTATAGCTTACTACAGCCTTGAACTCCTGGGCTCAAGTGATCCTCCTGCCTCAGACTTCTGAGTAGATGGGACTAGAGGCGTGCACCACCATGCCCAGCTAATTATTCTTATGATTTTTGCTAGAGACAGGATTTCTGATCTCCCTATGTTGCCCAGGTTGGCTTCAAACTTATGGGCTCAAGGGATCCTCCCCCTTCAGTCTCCTGAAGTGCTGGGGTTACAGGTGTGAGCCACTACTCCCAGCTGATATATACATTTCTAATTGAAAATATTTTATTGCTAAAAGACATTGATATTTTTGAAGAGTGTATGCAGTCGCGTGTTGGAGCCGGCCCATCGCAGCCTGCAAGAGCCAGCTGTTAGCCTCTGTTCTCAGCTCTGCTTTCAGGGATGTCAGGTGGCGGTTTGAAAGCAGCCCTGCCAGCAGTGTCTACCAGGCTCCTCCGAGCCCTCTTCGTGCCATTCTTTTAGCAAGAACACCCCCACTTTTGATATCTGATCAGATTCTGCATTCTCCACCCCTGATATCTGAAGTCCTTGGCCTGACTCTAATAAAAACCTTGTTAGGCCAGAATTCCCCTCCTCTTGGCATCTCCTCTTAGTAATTACCCATCCACTGATCCCCTTCCCTTGGCCCACTGACCACAAATCCCCACTTGTCCCTGTTGTATTTGGAGTTGAGTTCAATCTCTCTCCCCCAAGAAACAGTCTTGGCCTCTACGGCGTTAGGTTTGAATAAAGACCTCCTTGCCATTTTTAACAAGTGTTCCAATTGTTTTCCTCTTCAGCAGCAAATGCTACACATCAAGACTCAATCCCCCACCCCCAAGACCCATTTACCATTTACTAACTAGCACACCGCTGAGTTACAGACCAGTTGTGTTACGGAAGGTCCCATATTCTGAAATTGCTGGTTCCTCCTGATTACCTTCAGTTAAACACTTTGATGCATAACATAGGTGATGTTGCGTCTCACGGTGCCCTTTATCTCTGTCTTGTCCAACGTTGAAAATCCTGGGACTCCATGGCCCCTCCTGCTTTCCCAAGCCCCCATTCCTCTCCCCTGCTTTATTTCTTCCATGACTGTAACAATCATCTGTCATATTATATTTTTTACCTCTTAGTCTCTCTCTCTCTAGAATGAAAGCTCATGAGGGCCAAGAGTTTATCTGTTTAGTTACACTACTGAGCCAAAAGTCGACTATAGTGCATGGCACGTAGGACTTGCTCAGTGAATATTTGTGGAGGTAGAGAATGAACGGGAGCAATGCAAAAGTGGCCAATTTCATTAATTGTAGTTTGGCCACTGATTTTTCTCCTTCAATATGGCTATCAGCTCTCAAGCAGATCATGAGTTCTCAGAACGTGACAAAAAATAGACACATTCTAAAAAACGCATCGATCACAAAGGACATTACAAGGGAAAAACAATAAAAGGTTGATTTTCTTTTTTTTTCTTTTTTTTTTAGACAGAGTTTTACTCTTGTTACCCAAACTGGAGTGATTTCTGGTGCTCTTGAGGGTGTGTCTGAAGCTGGAGATTTTTGTGAACTGCACACTAGGAGGTCAAGATGCTGTGTGGAAAGTGAATAGATCTCTGGGCAGAGAAGAAAGGTCATAGGATTGGAGGCTGGGCACAGTGGCTCACGCCAGTAATCCCAGCACTTTGGGAGGCTGAGGTGAGTGGATCATCTGAGGTCAGGAGTTTGAGACCAGCCTGACCAATACGGTGAAACTCCGTCTCTACTAACAATTCAAAAATTATTGGGGCATAGTGGTGTGCACCTGTGATCCCAGCTACTTGGGAGGCTGAGACAGAAGAATTGCTTGAACCCGGGAGGTGGAGGTTGCAGTGAGCCAAGATTGCACCACTGCCCTTCACCATGGGTGACAGAGTAAGACTCCGTCTCAAAAAAAAAAGTTCATAAGATTGGGAGCCCAAGACAGTATGTGTTGGCAAATCTCAACTTTTTTTCCTTTATGGCGAGCTGAGACTTTTTTTTTTTTTTTTTTTTTTTTGACCAACCATTCTCTTACATGGCCTTGCAATCTTTTAAAAATGCAAACGAACCCAATTAAGGACAGGGTCCCAGATCCTTTTAGGATCCCACGAGTGTCAGCTGTTTCTGGCAGGTGTGCTGCCACTCTCTGCAGCTAGCCATCATCCTGTCTCGGGTAATATGGGATATGTGTGGGTGCTGGTGGTGGCAGGGTCGCTGTACTTAGCCTTACACAAGCCTGTCTCTCTTGCAATAGACATGTTCGCCCCAACCAGGAAAACTCTTCCAGGATTCTCCTCCTCCAGTGAGGCTCTCTAGGCCCCCAGAGCAGCAGAGACCCTGGGACCCAGACCCCCACGGCCCTCCCTGCCTGTTTCCAGATGTACAAAGTATTTTCTTGTGCCTTGTCTGTAGCAGCAAAAGATCGAAACAACCTAAACGTCTGTCAATACAGAGGACTGACTGAATAGATTTCTCTGAAGCTATAAGAAAGAATGAGGATGATTCTGTTTTAATAGGGGATGATCCCAAAGATATATCATGAAGGAGAAAAAGGCATGCTATTGAGCAGTGGATAGTATACCACAGAGAGTATACAAAGTCGGCTTGTGTTTATGGACTGCCTGTGGACCTCGACACCAGAAATGGGTGGCAGTGCTGCCTTTGGAAGGGGAACTAGGCAGCTGGGGGACATTTCACTGTGCACTCCTTCTGTCTGCAGAGTTTGTAACCTGCGAGCATAGCACCTTTCAGAAACAGATGTTATCATCTCTGTCTCTCTTGTCCTGGGGGAGATTAGACGTGAATAGAAACCATCCTAAGGCAGGTAAAAATCAGATAAGAGTCACAAGATGAACACAGGCTCCATTTGAAGAAGGGACGACTCATTTCTGACCGGGTAATGGGGACTAGGGAAGACTTCCTTACGGGGATGGTGTTTGAGCTGAGTCTGAGAGAATTCTGGAAGGGAAAGTGGACGGGTGTGGAGGGGACAGGGTAGAAGGTGGCTTAGACAGAGCCACTGTGAAAACACGTAAGTGACCAGGAAAATGCACCACTTACCTTTGCTTGGTGCTCTATTTTGTAGGCAGTTTGTTGAAACTGGCGAATCTCTCGGATAATGTGGGATATCTGCGGGAAGGAGGGAGAGTTTCAGAACGCAATTTGTTCCCTTAGTGCTGCCCCTGACCTTGTAGAACTGAAGGGGCATCAACAGCTAAATCTAAAGTCAGCCTCTTAATTCCTGGAAGGTCCCACAGAGGCATCATCTGTGTTTGTTTTTATTTTTTGAGATGGAGTCTCGCTCTGTTGCCTAGACTGCAGTGCAGTGGCGCAATCTCGGCTCACTGAGGATCTCCTGCGTTCAAGCGATCCTCCTGCCTCAGCCTCCCGAGTAGTTGGAATTACAGGCACCCACTGCCATGCCTGGCTAATCTTTGTATTTTTAGTAGAGATGGGTTTCACCATGTTGGCCACGCTGGTCCTGAACTCCTGACCTCAAGTGATCAACCCGCCTCGGCCTCCCGAAGTGCTGGGATTACAGGTGTGAGTGCCTGCTGTGCACAGGACACAGGGAAAGGCTTCCACTCTTCAGGATGGTGTCTGGAGAAACCCTTTCCATCAAACGGAATCTAATGTGGAGGCCCATTACGTAAAACTGGTGCAAATCGAGGCTTTCTAGTTGAACTGAGAGGGGAGAAGGGGATGGTCGGAATCCTGCTTCTGATGGAAGAAGTCGCCTCATCCCTCAAAAATCCAGGTTCTAGATTTTTCTGGAAAGACTGGAAACTTATTCTTTTAGGAGGCGCTGTGTAAGTGGTTTTACTTTGTCCACATCAGGCAAGTGTCCACATGAGCAATACGGAGGGGTGTGAGTAACGAGTAGGCTTTGGAGTCACCTGGAAGCCAGACCTGGCCCTGCCCTTTGTCGGGTGACCTTGGGCTTCTCACTTGATCTCACCCGGCCTCAGTCTGCTTGTCTGAAGGGTGCAGAATGAGAAGAGCACCTACGTCTCAGACTGCCAGGACTAGAGGAGGAATGCCAACAGAAACATGGCTCAGGGCCTGCCAGATTCTAACTGCTCATCAATGACAGGGCTGGCTCTTGTTGGGGAAGCTGGACCCAGGCTCCTAAACAGGGGCACCCTATGCAGCAGGCTGGGCCTGGCGGGGGCAGAGCGGGGGTGGGCGCCAGGTTGAGTCATCTGGGCATCGACACCCCCCTTCCCCTGCCTGGCTGGGGAGAACGCACCATCCTCATCTTGGAGAAGTTGACCAGACCGTCCTCCGTGTAATTGGGCGTCCCCTCCTCGATGAAGGCCAGGTCGGTGAGGTACATCCCCAGGTAAGGGACACAGGGTGGGTCACAACTTGGAAGCAAAAGGCATTAACAAAAGTTTTTCATTTAAAAAAAGTAATGTCTACTAAAAACAGAACATCGCGCATGCACCTTTTGCTTGCTAGAGCCAAAAGGCTTGCAGTCACCAAGAATCTTACTACGCTCTAGGACTGACAATCGTACACACCTAGGATTGTCAGCCGGGCCTGAGGGCCAGTCCTCTGGGGGTGGGGGCGACAGGGTGCTGAATGGGGCCTCCTGTAGCCGCTGGGGTATCTCAAATTGTCTCTTTGCTCCCCAAGCCAGAAAGTCCTCCTCTACCTCTCTGCCTTCTGTCCCTGTCAGTCCTTGGGCTCTGTCACCAGCCCCTCTGGACTCACCTTTCCTGTCTCTCCCTGAAACTCTCCATCCAGATCCTCCCCCTGAATCCACCTGCTGGAGGGCTCTGCAGCTCCAGCCCCCCAACTCCTGCCAGTCACCCTGACACCCTTGTCCCACTCTGCTCCCTGAGACCTCTCCTGTCTGCACTGGCACCTCCCACCCACCCAAGAACTGGGCTTGGGTGCCAGGGTGGGGAGTCCTTGGTCTCTGAGATCACTTTCCTAAAAGTGGTTATGGGGTAGGGGGCTGGGTGATAGTTTCTATGGTTGGTGACTCCTAGGGGACTGCAGCTTTGGGAGCTGGGCCCCTCGACAGGCCATGCCTTTCTGATTTTTGGTCCAAAGCAGCGGCTCCTGTTACTGCCCCTTCCTAGCATGTTCTGGTGCCCTTGAGTGGGTGCTGCATAAGGGCTGATGGAGACTGTGATGAGCCCAGCAGCTGCTATGTGCCCGCTGGGCTTCCTTTAGCTTCTCCTGGGGCCTCCTCTCTGCTCAGCACACAGATGCGGTGGCATCCCCAAGCAGAGTGCAGTGACCCTCATTCCCAGCCCTTCTCACCTTTTTCTCCGTGTGGCTACCCGGCAACCCTGCCACTCGGGAGGAAGGTGAGGCCGGGAGGATGACAGACCAAGAGCAGAAACCTGGCACCTGCCTGCTGTGTGACCTCAGGCCAGTCCTCTCCCTCTCTGGTCCCTGGGCTCCTCATGTATAAAGCAGTGATGCCAGCTAAGACAATTTTAGGTGGTCTGACAACTGATTTTAGGTGATTTGCAGGCACCATATTAACCAACATGAATTCACATGCTAAGAAACATTGGATTTTTACTTTTTTCCCTTCTGCTCAGGGAGAGTGCCTCATTTAGTGACGGTGTGACTCTGACACTTGGTGACACTTGCCATTCTCCTCCTTTCACATTTTCTCTTTTAAAACGAACAGCAACAGGCGTCAGAATCAGAATGTTGGCAAGCATCCGTCTTTGGCCAGAATTCAATAACACTGTTTTGTTTTTACCGTATATTTTTTAATGGCAATCTTGTATTTCCAGCAAGTAGGCTGGTTTTCCATTTGCTGGGAAATAAAAATTTCCTTGTTATTTATCTTTGGGAAAAAGTGAATTAATTTAAAGAGGCTGTTAGGTAAACCCAGAACAGCTGGCTCAGTCTGACAAAGTCGTGAAGGAGGTCGATGCCTGGTGTTAGGAACACAGCAGGCACGTGTTTTTCCAAACGTAGGGCTGACCCTTTCATGGTGGTTTTTTTTTTTTTTTTTTAAATAAAGATGGGGTTTCACCATGATGGCCAGGCTGGTCTTGAACTCCTGACCTCAGGTGATCCACCCACCTCAGCCTCCCAAAGTGCTAGGCTTACAGGCTTGAGCCACTGCGCCCAGCCTCATGGGTGTTGACATTAATTTAGAGGGTGCAGACCAAGAATTTTTAAAAAGTGGAACAGGGCCTGGTGTGGTGGCTCACCCCTGTAATCCCAGGAGGTAGGACTTGGGAGGCTGAGGTGGGAAAATCGCTGGACTCCAAGTGTTCAAGACCAGCCTGAGCAATATAGTGAGACCTCATTTCTACTGAATTGAAAACAAATAAAAATAACAAGTGAAAAAGAAAATATCTAAGTTCATCAAATGGTATAAAGGTATATATTATTATTATTATTTTTTTGAGACAAAGTCTCACTCCATCACCAGGCACCAGGCTGGAGTGCATTGGCGTGATCTTGGCTCACCACAACCTCCGCCTCCTGGGTTCAAGCAATTCTCCTACCTTAGCCTCCCGAGTAGCTGGGACTACAGGCACGCGCCACCACACCAAGCTAATTTTTTTGTATTTTTAGTAAAGATGGGGTTTCACCATGTTGACCAGGATGGTCTCGACTTCTTGACCTCGTGATCCACCTGCCTCGGCCTCCCAAAGTGCTGGGATTACAGGCGTGAGCCACCGAGCCCGGCCAGGTATATATTATTTTGTGGAATTTTTGTTCCAGTAATGCATACATGCATTTGCATATAGGGTTGTAATTTCAAATATACATATTTACTGTGGGTTGTGATAAAAAGAGCAAGGATCATCCAGCCGCTGTAGGGCTGCTCTGCACCTTTCCATCCATTCTAGTCCATGGTTATTACATGCTCAAGTCTTCATTTCCTTCTTTTCTTTTTTTTTTTTTTTTCTGAGGCAGGATCTCACTCTGTCACCTAGACTGGAATGCAGTGGCACAATCACAGCTCATTGCAGCCTTGACCCCTGGACTCCAATACGACTCCTGCCTCAGCATCCCAAATAGCTGGACTACATGCATGCGCCACCATACCCAGCTCATTTTCATATTTTTGGTAGGGACGGAGTTTTGCCATGTTGCTCAGGCTGGCCTAGAACTCTTGAGCTCAAGTGATCGACCTGCCTCAGCCTCCCAAAGTGCTCAGATTACAGGCGTGCACCACTGCGCCTGGCCAGCTCTTCATTTCCTTTCTATCATCCTCCAAGTCTGAAGCCCAGGCTTGTGAGTCTGATGGAGGAAGAATCCAAAGATCTGAGAAGTGACTCTGGAGTTGTAAGGCTGTGGCAGTGTCACCCTGTCACCTGCACATGTGATGGTAGCCAGGTCACCTGGAGTGCTCTAAGCATGGAACGGAGCATGGGAGGCCTGGGGACTGCAAGTTGACTGCAAACAATCAAAGGACTCAGAGTGTTTCTCAAGGCTTTGGAGGGTCTCTGACCACCTAGACCAGTAAAAAAGATCAGCGGTCCTTTGATCACTGAGGGAGACTTCCCTTGGTATTTACGGGGAGTCACAGTCCAGTTGCGGGAAGGTGGTGGATTTGCAATTGAATCACTAGCAAGTAGCATACCCAGCCCCAGTACTAACCTCTGGCTCTATTTACGAGCTCTGTGACAAGGGTGTCCAATCTTTTGGCCTCCCTGACCACATTTGGAAGAAGAATCATCTTGGGCCACACATAAAATGCACTAACACACTAACGATAGCTGATGAGCTAAAAAAAAAATCACACCAAAAAAATCTCATGTTTTAAGAAAGCTTACCTATCTGTGTTGGGCTGCATTTAAAACCATCCCGAGACACATGTGGCCCTTGCTCTATAGTGAGGGGCCGTGAAGGCAGAAACAGGAGCACAGTCAATCAAACACACACACACTCGCACACATACACATGCGCACGCAGACACACGCACACGCACACACACACATGCACACACACACACATGCACACACACACATGCACACACACACACACATGCACACACACCCGTCGGAAATCCAAAGCCACGTAGGCAATGTATGGAGCTGCCAGAGTGGGACAGAGGACTGGTGGAGGGCCAGCAGGGACACGGGCAGGGGGACTGAGCCACGACGAGCCTCTCAGTGGAAAGGGAAGCACGCTGGGGCTGCCTGTGGGCAAGATGCCCAACAACAGACCAGTCCTGAACCTTCCGTGTGGGCCTCTTGGCCTCTCTCGGGTGAGGTCCTGTCTTGCCCTTGAAGGGCCTATCCAGCTGAGCTGATACGGGGGTGGCTTCCTCTTCTAGCAGAGCCCTCACAGGCCTGCAGCTAGCGTTTTAGGGAGCAGAGAGGAAAGTGTCCCATCCCCCAGCCTGACAGTTGCTTCTGGTTTCTGGCAAGGCCTCGTTGTGGCACTCCTGGCACCCTGGCCTTGCCTGTGGTGGTTTGGAGTCCCCAGACTGGATGTTTCTTTCCGCCAAGATGCTCCTGATGACATTAAATGGAATAAGGAAGATTATGGGACCAGCTGCTGCCGGCAAGCGGCAGCCGCCCACGCACGACAACAAACTCCAGGAAGGCGACCGTGGCGACCACTGAGACCATCTCTCCTTCCTCCTTCTCTCCAGCTTCTCTCCTCCCTGCACTGCCCCGGCTGTGGGATGCGCCACTGTCCCTGACACGCTTCTGCTGGCTGTGGTTGGGAATCTCCTCTGTCCCATCTCGAGACCTGGGGAAGGTCATTCAGGGAGGGTGTGAGGGCCCTTGAGGCTGAGCTGTGTGGGCTGAATCCCCTGGGGCCAGGGTCCAAGGTTCTGGCACGAGGTACAGGGTGACTGGGTAGGTAGTCTCTGAAAAACAAAACTGCAGTGCGCTGGGGTGGAAAGTCCAATCTTGCTTGGACCACTGGGTTGCTAATCTGCTCTCTGGCCACAGGCAGAGAATAAAGATAAAGATAGATATTTGGCTTTATTGGAACCTCTGAAACTCTAGAGCTCAGCCTTGGGTTCATGATATCCGCGTAGATAACCTGTCACCCCGATTAAAGGGTGTAGGGGACGGCCTGGCAGTCAGCTAGCTGACACACTCTTCCACGCCTGCTCCCACCCTTAATACAAGGGAACAAAGGAAAGGCTCTCACTGCAGCAGCCTACAGTAATGGCCTGTCCCGGGGTCCTCTCAATCAAGGACTTCCTCTTCAAATCAAACAAAAAAGGTGCAGATAGGCAAGCGTGTGCTGGGTTGAGATTAGACAGGGTAGTCGAAACTGGAGTCCGCCCCAAAAGAGCTGGTGACCACAGTTTACTGCTAAATTCAGTTATCAGCCAAATTCTTGTGGCATGGAGCCTTGGGAAGGTTCTGATTGCTGGGAGGTGGGGAGGAGGGAACAGTCCTGGGACTTTGCAAGGATGTAGCCTTGGGGAATGAGAAGGGAAGATGAGGCCACTCTCAGGGCACCGGAAGGGATGGAAGGGGCACATGTAGGGTTGCTGTAGGTGGGCCAAGGGACATTTAAGAGAGTGGCTGGTGGGATATGGATTTAGGGTTTGGCAATGAGGTCTTGACTGGAAAAGGCAGTAAAGCTGTTCTCCAGCCTGGACGCTGGCAGAAATTGGATTTTTTTTTTTTTGATAGTTTCCCTCTGTCACCCAGGCTGGAGTGCAGTGGCACAATCTCGGCTCACTGCAACCTCCATCTCCTGGGTTCAAGTGATTCTCCTGCCTCAGCCTCCTGAGTAGCTGGAGCTACAGGTGCACGCCACCACACCTGGCTAATTTTTTGTATTTTTAGTAGAGATGGGGTTTCACCTTGTTAGCCCGGACGGTCTCAATCTCCTGACTTCGTGATCTGCCTGCCTCAGCCTCCCAAAGTGCTGGAATTACAGGCGTGAGCCACCACGCCTGGCTGGATTTTTTTTTTTTTTTTTTTTTTTGAGACAGACTCACCAGGCTGGAGTGCAGTAGTGCGATCTTGGCTCACTGCAACCTCCGCCTCCTGGGCTCAAGCAATTTTCGTGCCTCAGCCTTCCGAGTAGCTGGGATTACAGGCATGTACCACCACACCTGGCTAACTTTTGCATTTTTAGCAGAGACAGGGTTTTGCCATGTTGGCTAGGTGGGTTTCTAGCTCCTGACCTCAAGTGATCTGCCCACCTCGGCCTCCCAAAGTGGTGGGGTTACAGCCATGAGCCACTGTGCCCAGCCTGAGATTGGATATTTTAATGAAAAGCTGAAAAAGATGTGTGGGACATATGAATGGTGAGGCCCACTGCAGGACTCCTTGTCTGAGGAGGTCCCTGGCTATGCCCATGGCCTGCCACCTTGCTACTCTTAACCCCTGTCCCCTGCCTGGTAAAACAGACGCTCAGCATTCATGCAGCATGGCTCTTTGTGAAAACCTTAGAGCCTCAGGAGAGGAGGTGCAGGAAGCATTTGCCCTGGGTTTCCCCAGTCCCTGCCTCTCTGCCTGGCCTGCCTATGTCTCTGTAAGTCCAGAGCCTGTGCATAAAGCACTTAGCTCGCAGAGGCCTGCAGGCCACCTGAAAGAGGGAAGACAGTCAAGATGGGGACTCAGACAGAATGTAGGGGGCACAGAGCCAGCGGAGGTGGCGGTGGTGGCGGTGGCAGCCGAGGAAGCCAGTCATATGAGGACGTGGATGGAGTGGTGCCTGGGGGTTGGATGGACAAGTTGGTGAATGCATGGAGGGGCAGCTCCCCACAAGCATCGTCCACAGGGGTTCTGGGGAGCCCAGGCAGAAGAGAGATGGCCAGACAGCACAGATGGGTGTAACATCTGCCTGAGGACACAAATAAAGTGGAGATGGTCAAGGCGATGGCACACAAAGCTGGTGAAGGATGGACCAAGTATAGCGGGAAGAAAACGAGAAGAGGAGGCAGACAAGGCCGGGAGAGGGCTAAGCAGTCTGTCAAAGTGGCTGCCACGGGCTGGAGGTTCTGGCTGGCCCCATCCTCAGGTTCTGGGGGTAGTAAACTCTGGTGGTCCCTGCATCGGCCATGATCATGGGAACACCAGGAAGGGAAGAGAGGCTTCCTGAATTCACACACACACACACATGTATATATGGAACTGGGACCCCAGGGGTCTCCCAGGGTCTCTCTAAGGTCTGGAGAGCAGCCAGTCAGGCAAGGAGAGGAAGGGATGCTCACTCCGCGAAAGGAGGGTTGAGCCTAGCGCAGAACCCCAGTAAGCCCCTATCGGCAGTGGGAGAAACGAACCCTCCATTTCGCGTGAGTGCGTGGCCAGTGTGTGCACATGGCTGGGCCACAGCTGCCCTGGGAGAGCTCGTAGGTAGCCCAAGGCAAACCTCGCCACGCTTTGGAGCCAGCCTGGGCCAGTCCTGGCGCCAGGTCATGGCCACGTGGCCTTGCACCAGCCACTAGCTCTTCAGTTTCTTTGTCTAGAAGAACAGGATGTGGCAACGGCCTTATCCTGGTGGGTCTGGTGGGGGGATTTCGCCCCCTAGTAGACATCTGGCAATGCCTGGAGGCAGATTTGGTCATCATCCTGGAGGTCCCCATTAGCATCTCACAGGTAGAGGCCAGAGAGGCTGCTAAAGATTCTACAGTGCACAAGACAGCACCCCTCAACTAAGGATGATCCTGGTCAGAACAGCCAGGGTGCCGAGGCTGAGGACCCCGCCTTATGGGCAGTGTTGATGGTGTTAAATGCACAATGGCTACGCAAGCCCTCTATGAACTTTAAGTATGAATACTGTAAAACTGTTATTTTTTTGATTCCAAGATGCCATTGTCTATAAAATGCAAACTTACATTTTGATGACAAATTCTCGAGTGAAAAAGGAAACGCAATCATGTTAAATCAATAACGCTGGCTCTAAGACATCGTGCTGTCAGGATTATTAAAATGTAAAAAGAAAATGTGCATTTTAGAATTGAGAAGTCTGGCATCACTGTTCTCATGATCACAGCTACGATGCTTTCAGGAATCCAGCACGAGATTTCTGTGCTTGTTCTAGGAAATGCAAGCAAACTCTGGAGTTTCTCTGCAGACCATGGAGGACTCCACTACCGGGATCCAGGAAATCTGGGAGTCTTGTGGGTAGACAGACAGACAGACAGACACACCTCCCACTCTGGCTGGGGGTGGCGCGTGAATGCTTCTGCAATGCAGGTCTATGACTTTAAAAATAACAGTGACAAAACGACACACACTTACTTTTTCAGAGCTTCTCTGAGATTCTTAAATCTGCCCTCAGATGACACAAGCTTTTGGAGCTTATCAATCAAAGCTTTAGTCTAGAAGGAATCAGAAGGATTTACTAACACACAGCACGCGCCAAGGCCCGGGGCGCAAGCCTCCACTCCAGCATGCTGCCCGCCAGGGCTCCGGAACTGCGTTCCCTTGGGATCTGGGGACCGCCTGGGTTTGGGTACCTTGCCCCTGAACGCCACAGGAGCCGGGCACCGGTCCTTGTTGAGTGTGCCCGTGCTCACACCTCTCTCATAAGTGAGGAAGCGGGTGTGAGAGACCTGACTGTGGATTTGGCCCTTGGAAATGCTGCAAGGTCCCGAGACCTGGGCAGTTTAGAAGGACTTGCTGGGTGACTTCTAGGAGCCTGCGCTCAGCGCAGGAAAGGGCTGATTTTTCATTTTCCTGATCTTTCTCATGAACTACGCCCAAAGGATGGGACCCTCATCTCACACGTTCCCTTTTACACGCCAGGAACACCACCCACATCTAAGGATCAAGAAGAAAGATGGGAGACAGACTGATCATCAGGAAAGAAAGGCCTGGCTGGAGAAGAGGAAGCCCCACAGTGAAGGGCTTTGGCGAGCACCCCTGTGGGACCCCTCCCACACATCAGGCTGGAGCAGAGTTTCGGTGGCTGGAGTCTGTCTGAAGCATGGACCATCCTGGCTCAAACTTGGCTTTGTGCACCTTATTCTGTGTAGCCTGAGGGAAGGCCTTCTCTCTCAGAGGTCCTCAGCTCTCTCATTGATACAATGGTGAGACAGGTTAGAGATTTCCTTTGCAGCTCTGTTCCTCAAGATTCAGAATGTGGCTGAGGAACCGCGGGAGCACAGCCAAGCATGTGTGTCACGCCACCAGAGCCCTAGTCAGCCTGGAGGGGACACGGCCCCGGAGGACAAGCACACGTCCAATCTTGGGGGCAGATTTCTGCTGAGAAATTTGTCTACTGAAAAGGACAATCTCAGTACCCATTCTGACGGGAGGAGATCTGTGTGTGCTCTTCAAGGGGAAGGAAGGGCTGAGTATTCCATACAGTTCCATGCCTTATCAATGAGCGGAAAAGCCTCGCCACCTGACATAGGCTAATCTTGTTCAGAGGACAACAGTGTTCTCAATCTGATGGAAGAGACACGCAACAGAAGAGCACACACCACACAGCGCCAAGGCAGATGATTCTGCTTTCGCTTGAGACGTCTGCTCTCTGAAGCCTGGCAAAGCCTGGATGCCCTGGCTGACCTCTGTCCCAGAGTCTCAGTTTCCCTCCTGCAATTTCCCTTTTTCAGAGCTGCACCCTACTTCCTCTTCGTCCCCATCCACCTGCAGAGGAATGACCTGATATGGCTTGAAGTCAGAGGTGGGGGCTGAGTCAGGAAACCCAGGGCCTCCCCAGGCTCTGTCACCTCCCCTTGGCATGCCGACTGGCAAATCACCACTCCTCTTGCCTTTCTGGGCCTCAGTATTCCCATCTGGAAAATAGGAGGGTAAGTCCGGATGTTCCCTAAGGCAATACTAGTTCAGATATTCAAGAATTGTGGGAGACCCAGAAGTTTGATCAGGAGGTCCCAGTGGCCATGCGGTTCTGGTGAAGTGTCACCGTGCTCTGAGGCCGTGAAAATTTGCAGAAGATATTCTGATGCATGGTGTTTCTAAATCCACTGGCACCAATTTGTGGCTCTGAGCTGGGCACATTTTTACCTTCCTCCACATCCCCATGCTCGCTGTGTGTGGCTGCTCCTCTTTGGGTGGTCATGGAAGGAGCTCTGTGGCCTGGGAAGCCACAGAATTTTCTCAGCTCCTGCTTAAAAAGTATGTTCGGAGGTGAAGTTGCTCAAGTATCTTCTGGCGGGGCCAGGAGTTTCGATCCTTTGATGCTTCATGCTCCAAGCCTCCAGGATGTTGGGCTTCTCTGTTAGGTGTGGACATCAGCTGGTAGAAATGGGGGGGCCCTTGGAATTTGTGATTGAAAGCAGGGACCAAGCAAAGAGCCTGCCTTGGAGTCAGTATCAGGAAGAAAGATGATTCTGTGGTCTCCTGAACTCCATCACTTCCTGTTCACTCAGTGGAGGACTTCTGGCTGGCTAAGAAGGTTCCCTCCCAGAGAGGCCAAAATGTATTGTTAGCCAACACCAGGATCTTGTCTCTACTAAAGCACAGCCATCCCCAGGAGGCGACACAAATCCACGTCAATCACTGTACTGTTTTATGGAAGTACATCATGATCAGATCCTCTCTTGAGGTCTTTTTCTCTTTCTTTCTTTCTTTCTTCCTTTCTTTTTTTCCTTTCTTTCTTTCTTTTTCTTTTTTCTTTTTTTTTGCAAAGAGGATGGGGAAAGAGCTTAAAAGAAGAAAGGGAAAATGAAAAATCCCAAATGAAACCCAACAGCCTGACTCTTGCTGAGGGCTGAACCAGACTTGGATATAATGCTTTTCTGCCATGGTGAGCACATTAAAGGGAGCAATGAAAACTGGCTGCCGAGGTTACAGTTCAGGCCACCTAAGAAATGTGGTCATTTCAGAGGGTCTGCAGTGTCCACAGGATGCCTGTAGAGAGATAACGAACTGCCCTTGGCTGGTGCTGAGCCGGCCATGGCCAGGCACTCCCAGAAGCTCCTGGGGCCCGGTGCTGTGCAGACACACAACTCCTACATGGCTGGGGGCTGCAGAAGCCGGCTGCGTCCAGAGTCCAGACTGCCGTAGAGGGTGGAGACCTCATGTGGTGCCAAAGGCATTTTTGATTTTTTGGACCCGGCCAGCTGACCCTAGGTCCAGAATGACATCCCAGAACACAGGTTGGGTCACATGCCCTGATCACCGACTGTCCTTGATTTGCACTCTCTGCAGAGAACAGAAGATTTCAGGATGGCCAAGTTCATTCCCTCCCAACTCCAAGAGGAGGGCGATGCTGGAGAATGAGACCAAGAAATGGACGGAGTGTGGGTTCCAGGAAGGCTAAGTGGGGTGGGAAACTGACCCGGTCTGCGGGGCCTCTGGAAAGGATGACGTCATTCCCATAGCACAGGGGAGAAGGAGAGAGATCTACCTGGAGTGGGTCCCCAGACCACACCCAGGGCCCTGCCTTAACCCTGATGGCCCAAATGAGGTTGGGTGACGTGGAGGTTCTGCAGAGCCTTGCTCAACATCTGCCTCCAGGAGTTCATGACGGCCCATACCGTGCCTGGCCAGATGTGCCTGCAGCTCTGAGTTCCCGTGCTCCTGAACTCTGCTCTTTCCTGGAGCCCGCAAACAAAAGTAGCATCTTTCACAGTCCTTCCCATAAGCCTGGCACCTCTGTGTGCCAAGAAGCAAGAGGCCCAGTCTCACTGGATTGTAATGGGGTGTCCCTGCATGTTCTGTAGTCCTGCTGGAGGGACCAGAAGAGGGGGGAAGGGCAGCAGAGATGTCAACACTTTCCTGAATTTGGCTGCCAAGTAGGGAGGATTATGGACACATCACCCGCTTGGTGGGTGGGTTCCTGACCTGCCATTGGCATGAAGAGAGTAGTGAGGAGTAGGTGATAAAGAGAACAATGAGGGGGACACAGTATGGAAGTCCAGAGTGGTCCAGATGAGACAGGACCCTTGCAGTCTCTGGGTCCTGCACCAAGGAAGTGGTCCAATTGCTTCACTGTGCTCTCCTGTAAGGAGCGCTGGTTCCTCCTGACCCCGATGCAGACACTTTATTCCTGAGGAAGAATCTATCTTATGGTTTTATGTTCATGTTTTATGTTTCTCGCTTTTCAGCTTCATGTTCTGAATAGGGATCAAGCCCACATTTAAGGTGATCAGTCAGCCAACAGGTACCTGGGAGCAGCTAACTCTCCGGTGGCCAGAAGGGCAGGTGAAATGAGAATCCTGGGAAGGGGCTTGCATGGGCATCTGACGGACGGGTCATCCCACAGAAGGGTCATCTGACCACCCTGCAGATCCCCTTAAAGCCAACACTCTTTCCCCAACTCCAGAGGAAAAAGCATTAGGACCAATAATGACCATTATATTCTTTCCACTTCGGGGCATGAATTACTCAAGCGGGAATTATAGTCCCACGGTCCCACTACCACATCTGTGGGCCTGCTATCTGGTCCCAGGTGATATAGAGGAAGTGATTCTCTTGTTTTACCTGGGAGCGTTAGACCTCTACCCAGTCCTTTGCCCACTTGTGGATGTCCAGTGGCCAGCCCACTGGCCTTCCTGCCCCAGCCCCAATCCAGCCCCAGGCAGGCAGTGGTGCCAGCCTCCTGCCCGCACCTGCTTAGAGACTTTGAGCCACGTCTTTTTGAGCCGGAAGATTGCACTGCGGTTCATGGATGAGGTGATCTCCAGCACGGCATTGTAGTTGTGGAGGCAGCGGCATATGTCAGCCACGGCCACCCACTTCTCAATGGCGCTCACCCTCGCGTTGATGTCCTCGTTGCGGATGATTTCGGAAGCAATCAGGTTACTGATCTTTAAGCCAATGCAATAAGACAGGAAAAAAGAGGAGTAAGTATCACAAAGATGAGTGATCACTATTTGCAGATACAATTGCCTGTGTGAAAATACAAGAAGGCACTGGAAAACTGCAGGAACAACAGCAGAGCTTGCTGCGCGATAAAGGTTCAACACACAAAAAGGAAAAGTTCTTATATACATGAGCAATAATCAGTTAGAAAATATAACGAAAATACAACCTTCCAAATAGCAATGGGAATTTGTAAATACCTAGGAACTTAATGAGAACTAAGTAGGATGGAAAAAACAGGTCATCAAAAGACATAAAAGGCTTGAATAACAGAAAAAGAGATCAAATTCCCAAATGGGAATACAATTTTTCTGAAAACAAATACATGTGTTTAATGTAATCCAATAAAACACTCAGGTCAGGCATGGTGGCTCACGTCTGTAATCCCAGCACTTTTGGAGGCCAAGGTGGGCAGATAATTTGAGTTCAGGACTTCAAAACCAGCCTGACCAACATGGTGAAACCCTGTCTCTACAAAAAATACAAAAACATTAGCTGGGTGTGGTGGCACACGCCTGTAGTCTCAGCTACTCGAGAAGCTGAGGCAGGACAATCCTTGAACCAGGGAGGCGGACATTGCAGTGAGACGAGCTCATGCCACCACATTCCAGCCTAGGCGACAGAGCGAGACTCCATCTCAAAAAAACCAAAACAAAAAAAAAAAAAAACCACTTATAGGAATTTCCTCTAGAAAAGTAAAGTTCACCTGGAAGAATAAACAGTTAAAGGGAGCCGAGTTCTCAGGGAATACCCCATCATACAACTAGAGCTTAGGACGCACTTTGAAGCATTGCTGGTCTCATATACACAGGAGAAGACATCTTCAGGGACTCCATCACTTGGCCAACCATGACATGCGCGCAAACGAATCAAGTGCAGGTTGGACCTGGAACAGTGCGGCAGGGGTGGGAAGCTGGGCTAGAACATCAGGGAATTAGAATCACAAGGAGATGGAACAGCAGAAGGCACCGGGCTTTCCAGTACATTCCTTTGCAACTTTCTAACTCTTTTTTTTTCATTTGAGACAGAGTCTCATTCTGTCGCCCAGGCTGGAGTGCGGTGGCACCATCTCAGCTCACTGCAACCTCCGCTTCCTGGGTTTAGGCGATTCTCCTGCCACAACCTCTGGAGTAGCTGGGATTACAAGCATGTGCCACCATGCCTGACTCATTTTTGTATTTTTAGTAGAGATGGGGTTTCATCATGTTGGCCAGGCTGGTCTCAAACTCCTGACCTCAAGTGATCTGCCTGCCTTGGCCTCCCAAAGTGTTGGGACTACAGGTGTGAGCCACCGTGCCTGGCCTTCGTGGCTCTTTAATTATTTTAAAATAAAAAGTTAAAAAAGACTGCTACTTAAAAAAAAAGGTGATAAAAGGACATTTACAGATGAATTAAAAGTTAGAGGGCTTTACTGCCAGGAAAGCTTCTCAAAAGCAATTTCTAAAGGATGTTTATCAAAAAGAATGAATTGCAAAACTACTTAAGAATGGAACTACCAGTTAAAAGAATCAGGAAGGAATAGCATAAAACAGGACAAGTATTATACCTTTTAATTAAGTAGTTAAAATTTTTTTCCGTCAAGAGAACATGGAAGTTAAAAAGTTTTATATAAAAGTTACACTAACTTTTGAAATGAATAGATTAGTCGAATCTTCCAGAGAAGAGCCATAAAAGGAATATGTCAATTTATTCTATGAAGCCAGTATTGCCTTGATACTGACACCAGAGACGGGTAATACAAGAAAGGAAAGTTACACACCTGTTTGTTTAATATACCATGACTGCATTGGGTTTGTCCCTGGAATGCAAGGATGTTTGAATATTGGGAAAAAAGTGTAATTGCCATTTACCATAGCAACAGATTAAGGGGGAAAAACCATATGACCATCTTCATGGATGAAGAAAGAAATATTTGATAAAATTCTATATTTATCCACGGTTAAATCCATTAGCACTGAAGGAATAAAAGACAACTAAAAAAAAAAAAACCTGGTAAAGAAACAAACATTCCACATGAGGAAATATTAGACGCACCTACTTTAAAACCAGAAGGTGGCCGGGTATGGTGGCTCACACTTGTAATCCCAGCACTTTGGGAGCTGAGGTGGGTGGATCACCTGAGGTCAGAAGTTTGAGACCAGTCTGGGCAACATGGAGAAACCCCGTCTCTACCAAAAATACGAAAATTACCTGGGCGCAGTGGTGTGCACCCGTAGCCCCAGCTATTCGGGAGGCTGAGGCACGATCATTGCTTGAACCTGGGAGGTAGAGGTTGCAGTGGGCTGAGATCGCACCATTGCGCTCCGGCCTGGGCAACAGAGGGAGGCTCTGTCTCAAAAAATCAAAAAATAAAAACAAAAAAACAACAAAAAAGCAAAAAAACCCAGAAAAAACACAAAACCCAAGAAGGAGACACATGATCACTGTGTCTATCCCACACTGTCCTGGAGAGACGGGATAAGGTGAGGCAGGCGTGGCGTGCGGCGCAAGCGCAGGAGGGCAAGTAACTCCTTATGTTTTGCTCCCTGGGGCTTCCCTTGCCCCAGGACCCCAGCCTGGCCATGGTCCTGATGACCCTGGCCAGTGCCAGCGAAGAGGACAAAGAAATTAAAGGCAGAAGGACCAGAACACAGCAAACAGGACTGTGCTAGGGAGTGACGAGGAAAATCGCCGTCATGCCAGCGACATCCTGCGTATCAGAACCGAATGGTGGATTTGGGCAGAGATGGTCAAATGCCAGGCAGTTACGAGGGCAGCCTCTGAGGCAGACCGCGTGTGTTCAGAACCGTACTCTCTTGCTGTGTAATGTTGGGGATGAAGTGTCCCCTCCCCAAGCCTCAGTTTCTTCCTCCACAAAGTGGGAATGACAGGATTAAATGAGATGGTGCATTTGAAGCACGTCCTTAGCACGGCATCTAGCATGTGGTGATCACTCAATGAATGCTCACTTCAAACGCTTGCTTGATTCCCGGGCACAGAGGGGGACAGGGGAAGGGAGGGGACAGGGATGTGCTGCCTCGTGCTATAACGTGCGGTCAGATCAGGCCTCTGTCAGGTATGTTTCCTGAGGCCTGGGCTCCGTCCCTCTTTGTCTCCTGAGAGGCACACGGGTCTCCTTTCTGCTGCTGTGCTCACTGCAGGAACCACTGGGTGCCCAGGCCTAGTACGCCCCAAGGGTTCCCCCCCCTGAGCTGCAATCCCCGGGCCTTTCTTGTTTCCTCCAGGCTGCTGAAGACCCTCCCCGGATATGTTGTGCAGGCCAGGGGGCATCCCTGGCTGGGTTGGCAGCACGTGGCCCGGCCAAGGCGTCAGGACAAGTGGAGTCATGCGCGGTCACCACTGGCCCTCAAAGGCTCTTTCCTTGTGTTGATGATTAAACTCGGAAGAATGAGGATGCTGAGTGCAAATGTTCTCAGGGCTGTCACGAGGCTGGGAGTAGACCCGTCTCTGTGGTTCAGAAGTTGGAACTTGCGCAAGCGTGGGGAAATTGCTAGGAGGGATTTTTCTTTTTTCTTTTTTTCTCACACAGCCGATTTGCACTGTGCAGCAAGGAGGCCATGAGTTACTGCACACCGGTTAGGGGACCTCAGCATTTGCCCTTCCAAAGCCTTGGTTTCTGCCTATCTAAAGTGTGAGGACAGCCCCCATCTTTTTTTTTTTTTTCTTTTGAGATGGAGGTTTGCTCTTGTTGCCCAGGCTGGAGTGCAGTGGCACAATCTTGGTTCACCAGAACCTCCGCCTCCCAGGTTCATGCAATTCTCCTGTCTCCGCCTCCTGAGTAGCTGGGATCACAGGCATGCACTACCATGCCCGGCTAATTTTGTATTTTTAGTAGAGACGGGGTTTTGCCATGTTGGACAGGCTGGTTTCGAACTCCTGACCTCAAGTGATCCACCTGCCTCGGCCTCCCAAAGTGCTGGGATTATAGGCATTAGCCACTGTGCCCGGCCTAGCCCCCATCTTTCAGTTGATGTGTGCCTTCAATGAAATTACTATGCACAAAAAGCTCAGTGCTAGGCACAAGGTAGGCACCTGGTTAGGGGCAGTGGATATTCTTATTAAAGAACGTTGCAAATGCTCCCTGTGGACGTGAACCGTGTCTCAGAAGGCCCTGGGACCTGTCTGGCCCCCAGTTCTCTGCTGCTCCCACACTTCTCTGAGAAGGGAGTCTGGGAGCTGGGGGTGTGAGATGGACCCGTCTGAACTTGGTGTGCTGGTCAGAGCCGGTCCAGGCCCTCTGAGCTGCTTATGCCAGGCCAGTTTGCGGGTCCAGTGCTTGGTTCCATCTCAACAGTTGCTCCCCAGGAAAGCTGGGGTTGGGGGGTCTAGAGGAGGGGGCTGGAGGACTGGATATTGGGCCATCCTGATCCCAGCCAGGGACCTTCAGGAGCCTTAGTCTTGCTCAGCACTGTGGCCTCCTAACATTAAAGAGAATTCTCTTTAAAGTCATCCCAAAAGACCACCTTACTACAAGGAAAGGCAAGAAGGGGGCAGTGAGTAGGACATCACTTCCCAGGTAGCTGAGACAGCCAAAACATCAGGAGATTCTGAGGGTTCTGAATACGCACGAATTCGAGGGAAGCTGTCTGCCACTGACTAGCCAAATACTGCCTATTGCTAATACTGAGACGAGGTTAAAAATCAGTAAGCAAAGCAAGGGCTTCCCTCCTTTCCTTCTAATCCTTCATTCATTTCTGTTCCCTTGGCTACAGAGTGCCCAAAAACCCTGCTCTGAGAAGGGACCCCTGTTAGGAATCACAAAATCACAAGTTCCTGGCTGAGAGCTTTCGGCGAGCCAGTGCTGGACTGAGTGTCTTCACGTGGCCTCCCCAAAGGTCATCATAGGATGACCTTTCCATGGTCAGCTCCACTTAGTAGGAGAAGAGACAGAGACTGAGGTGGGACAGGCAGCCTCAGGCCACATGGGCCACATGGCGAAGGGTGGCAGGGCTGGAGAGGACCAGGAGTCTCCTTCCAGCCGGGTGTGCAGACCCCTCTCTACCCAGCCTCTTGAGGCTCTTGCCAAAGAAAAACCCCAGTGAGAGTGGCGCTGCATCCAAACTCACATCATTGAAGTGCTTGGTGGTCTTCATGATGTAAGGGGTCCTTTCATTCTTTTCCACTTTCATCCAGCCTTGTCCGAAGAACTCCCTGCAGGAAGGAAGGGGAAACCCAGGCGGGGCAGAGGTGAGATTTTCCTCGCTTTCATTGCTCCGTGCTTTTTATTTTATTGTATTTGGGCTTTTTGAGGCTGTCATTTCTGAGCCCTGGAGGGAAGGAACCCTGGGCTCAAATCCAGCTCTGACTTGCAGCAGCTGTGTGGCCTGAGGCAAAGCCTTTATGGCGCAGGGCTTTAGTTTCCTCATCTGTAAAATGGGAATAATGGCAATCGTTTCCTCACAGGTACTGGGAGGCTGAAATAAGGTGTGGGAAGGCACGTGATAGATAACTTGTGAGGTGTGGCGGACAGAAGGTTCTGTTATGAATCTTATCTTCTGCCAGGAAGAATTCACATTTTAGTCACTGCAGCGGCTGGTGTACAGAATGAGGGAAGAGAATACCACAAAAAAGGGGCGGATAAAAGGCTTAAAAAGCCTGCAAGCCAAGCCGCAGGCTGGTGACGTCGCCAAGTGACAGGAAGAGGAGACCTCGGCAGAGTCCTGCGGGCAGAAGGGGCCAGGGGAGGTGATCACATCTGAAAACATATCCCGCTTCTCCTCCTAGAGGGACAGATCCAGAATATCGGCTGCTTCTACGTCCGGGAGATGTCACAGGTCTCCAAAGTGCCCTCTCTATTTATGTGAGGCAGCACCCGTGCTGGGGAGAGTGCCAGGTGGGGCTGAGGTCAAAAACCCCGCAGTGATGCCAATCAGGAGAGCCCAATTTTGGGAAAGCATCCAGGGACCATTGTTAGGAATGCAGAGACATATTTTTACAAGGATGTTTACTGCAGCAATAAATGTAAAGGTGAAGACTGAAAACAGCCTCAGGGCTTAGTAACACACTGTGAGAGAATGCTGCGTACTTATTAAAATTAGTGTTTACACTATTTTTAATAGGGTAATTAAAATTACATGTTGGCATAGCGTCAGATGAAGGAAGAGGGATACAAAATTATATAAGTAGAATAATTGTGATGGACACCAGGGAGGACTGAGGCCAGAGCAGGTGACAGCAGGCCTTGGGTCTTTGCTTCAAAGTCCACACCTGTCCCCTAAGTCAGCTCCTGGAGGCCACTGGACCCACACGCCCGCCCACGCTCATGCCTATGTGCGCATTTTCCCACAGGTATATGTGAATACACACATGAACACAAGCTCTTTTCTAGATACTCTCTAGGAGCTCTGAGTTAGAGATGCTTCCAGAAAAGTGTGTATGTGTGTAGCTGACAGGTAAGGAGAGAACCTGGGGGCAAGAACAGAAATAGAGCTTCCCCCTCATTCTGCCGACCCAGGCACTGTTGTTTCAAGCTCTAGAGAGTCTGTGCAGCTCTGGAAATTCACCGTACATGCTTCCGGGGTGCCATCTAAGGCAGGGCTGGGGGAAGCGGAGGGCGGCGGGGTGACACCTGCAACACTTACTCATAAGGAATCTTCCTGAAGACGAGGTGGTCCAGCAGGGTCAGCTGCTCCGCAATCTCCAGGGCCGAGTGGTTTTCAAAGGGCTCAACCTTCACGCCTTCAGCCTGGTTTTGGGTTAGGGGAGCAAGGTTTTGAGTTAGGCCCACCTCCTGGATTCTCAGCTGTCTCGAATCAGGGGGGCGGGTGGACGAAGGGTGATGAGGGGAGGTAGAGGGAAGGGGATGGAGGGAGATGGCCCCATCCTGTTGTGCCGGTGTGTGCAGGCCAGTGCTGAGACTGCCCTCACCCACCCTGCCAGGGAGCGACCATTACCCCAGCACAGGCATGAGACAGCAGAGACCTCCAGAGGTGAACCATGGGCCCGAGCTGCAAAGCTGGAAGCGGGTGACTAGGGCCGGAGCCCAGGTCGTCTGACTCCAGGATGTGCCTGGTCACTCCCTTCAGGGTCCGCCTGAGCCCACCATGGGCTCTACACAATTTCCTTTTGAAACTAGCAGGTGTGGCCTCCTAGGTGTGATTAGCTCCTGGGTAGCTCCTGTACCCAGAGGGCAGCTGTTTCGCCACAGTCCTGGGCTTCAGGCTGTGTTTCTGGCCCCCAGGGGCCACCCTTGGACACCATCATTGAGCGTGTCCACTACTTGGGCCCTTTGATCAGAGAAAATCCCCAGAGAAACGTTAGTCAGGGGACAGTGGTGGCCAGAGTAGGAGAGGGATGAGAGGTGGGCATGGGGAGGCCAGTGAGTTGGACACCATCGTGGAATGTCTGATGGATCCGAGTGCGGGGTGCTGGAGGGCACTGGGGAAAGGGACGGCTGTGTGGGTCTTGCGGGGAGCCTGTGTTCACCAGGGGATGAGTTAGGACAAGAATCCCCCGGCCACCACCTCAGGCCCGTCTGCGTCACGCAGGAGGAGAGGGGTCAAACCCTCGGGCAGCAGGTGCTCCGGGATGACTGCCTCGCATGCCTCCTGACTTCCCCTTCTCATGCTCACTTCACCCTGCCCAGAAGTCCCGGGAGCCGGGCTGAGCCCCCGCAGGCAGCCCATCTGCCTGGTTCCCAGGAGGGGGGGCCATCCCTCCCAGACTAAGTGTCTCCCTTCCCATTTCCTCTGCAGACGTGCTCTGAGGTCTGCGCCAAGGCCCTTGCTACACACTGAGATAGGAAAGCAGGAAACACAGCCCTGACCTCAGGGTGCCCAGCCTAAGGGGGTCCGAGTCATGTGAAAAGCAGGGACCATGGGGGAAAAACAGCTTGTGTGTGTCTGTGCGTGTGCCGTGTGGTGTGTGGGTGGTGTGTACGGGGTGTTTGTGGTGTGCAGTGTGTGCATGTGTATGTGGGGTGTGTGTGTGTGGTGTGTGATGTGTGTGGTATGTGTGATGTGTGTGGTGTGTGTGTGGTGTGTTCCTGTGGGTGATGGGTGTACGTGGTGTGGTGTGTGTACATGGTGTGTATGTGTGGTATCTGGGTGTATGTGTGTGTGGGGTGTGTGTGGTGTGCACTTGTGTGGGTAATGTGTGCATGTCTATGTGGTGTGTGTGGTATGTGTGTGGTATGGTATCTGTGGTATCTGTGTGGTATGTGTGTGGTGTGGTGTGTGTGTGCATGTGTGGTATTTGTGGTATGTGTGTGTGATGTGTGCATGTGTGGTATCTATGGTGTGTGTGTGGTGTGTGCTTGTGCGGCTGACGTGTGTATGTGGTGTGTGTGTGTGTGATGTGTGTGGTGTGTGTATAGTGTATATGTGTGTGGTATGGTGTGTGTGTGAGTGCTGTGTGCGTGGAGTGTGTGTGATGTGCTGTGTGGTGTGATTTGTGTGGTGTGTGGTTGGGAGGTGTGTGTGTGCTGTGGTATGTGTGTTTGCTGGGTGTGTGCAGTGTCTGTGTGTGGTGTGTGTAGTATATGTGTGTCTGTGGTGTGGTGTGTGTGGTGTGTGCTGGGTGTGTATGCTTGGTGTGTGTATGTAGTGTGTGTGGTATCTGTCGTGTGTGTGGTGTGTGTGTGTGTGTGTGATGTGTGCCTGTGTGGGTAATGTGTGCATGTGTTTGTGGTGTGTGTGGTATGGTATCTGTGGTGTGTGTGGTGTGGTGTATGTGTGTGGTGTGTATGTGTGTGGTGTGTGTGTATCTGTCGTGTGTGTGGTGGAGTGTGTGCCTGTGTGGGTGTGTGTGTGCATGTGGTGTGTGTGGTGTGGTGTGTGTATGTAGTGTGTATGTGTAGTGTGTGTGTATGTGGTGTGAGTGCTGTGTGCATGGTATGTGTGTGTGATGTGGTATGTGTGTTTGCTGGGTGTGTGTGGTGTCTGTGTGTATGTGTGGTGTGTCTGTGGTGTGTAGTGTATGTGGTATATGGCGTGTGTGTGTATGGTGTGGGGTGTGTGTGTATGGTGTGTGTAGTGTAGTGTATGTGTGTGGTGTGTGTGTGGTATGTGGTGTGTATGTGTGATATGTGGTGTGTATGTGTGGTGTGATGTGTGTATGGTGTGGTGTATGTGTGTGGTGTATGTGTTTGCTGGGTGTGTGTTGTGGTGTGTGTGTGGTATCTGTCGTGTGTGGTGTTTGTGTGGGGTGTGTGCCTGTGTGGGTGATGTGTGCATATGTGGTATGTGTGGTGTGGTGTGTGTGTGTGGTGTGGTATGTGTGTTTTCTGGATGTGTGTGGTGTCTGTGTGTATGTGTAGTGTGGTGTGGTGTGTGTGTGGTATGGCATGTGTGGTGTGTCGGAAATGTGTGTGTGTGTAGTATGTGTGTGTAGGGTGTGTTGTGGTATGTGTGTGGTATGTGTGGTATGTGGTGTGTATGTGTGGTGTGTATGTTTGGTGTGGTGTGTGTGTGTGGTGTCTAGTGTGTGTGTGTGGGGTGTGTGGGGGTTCCGGGGTGTATGTGTAGTGTGTGTGTGGTGTCTGGTGTGTGTGTGTGTGTGTGTGTGTGTGTGTGCGGGTTGTTGTGTGTGTGTGTGTGTGTATGGTATGTGCGTAGGGTGTGTGGGGTGTGGTGTGTGTGGTGTGTGGTGTGTGTGGTATGGTATGTGTGGTGTGTGTGTGGGATGTGTGGGAAATGTGCGTGTGTGTGTAGTATGTGTGTGTAGTGTGTTGTATGTGTGTGGTGTGTGTGTGGTATGTGGTGTGTATGTGTGATATGTGGTGTGTATGTGTGCTGTGTATGTGTGATGTGTGGTGTGTATGTGTGTGTGGTGTCTGGTGTGTGTGTGGGGGTTCTGGGGTATTTGTGTAGCATGTGTGTGATATGTGTGTAGTGTGTGTGTATGTGGTGTGTGGTGTGTATGCGTGGTGTGTGGTGTGTATGTGTGGTGTGTATGTGTGGTATGTGTGGTGTGGTGTGTGTGTGTGTGGTGTCTGGTGTGTGTGTGTGGGGTGTGTGGGGTTCTGGGGTGTTTGTGTAGTGTATGTGTGTATTTGTGTAGTGTGTGTGGTGTGTGTGTGGGGCATGTGTGTGGTGTGTTTGTGTGGTGTGTATGTGTGGTATGTGTGTGGTGTGTGTGTGTGGTATTTGTGTGGTGTGTGTGTGTGGTGTGTGTATGTGTGGTGTGTATGTGTGGTATGCTGTGTGTGTGTGGTGTCTGGTGTGTGTGTGTGGGGTGTGTGGGATTCCGGGGTGTTTGTGTAGTGTATGTGTATTTGTGTAGTGTGTGTGGGGTGTGTGTTTGTGTGGTGTGTGTGTGGTATGTGTGTGGTGTGTGTGTGGGGTGTGTGTGTTTGTGTGGTGGCTGTCGGTGAGTGTTTCTTGGCAGAGCTGTCCTGGGCAGGGAGCGGTGTGTACAGAAACCCAGGTGCAGGAGCATGGGTGTTGGGGACATGAATGCTTTGGGGACATAGAGAGGAGAAAGGAGCATGGGTGTTGGGGACATGAAGGCTTTGGGGACGCAGAGAGGAGAATGGTAGGCCACTGAGTTGCTGGGTTGTAGGGAGACAATCCAGGCAGGGGATCCCCTGTGTGTTCACAGAGAGGGGACCCTCAGCCTCTGAAGCAGCTGACTGAATAAATACAGGTGGGCGGCCCAGCCACCTTCCCATATGAGGTTCCTGCCTGGTGCCCTGGGGCTGGGCCAAGGATGGCTGAACTGTCAGGGCCAAGGGTGAGCTCAAGGGGCTGCGTGGCTTATGGCCCAGTGGCCCTGGCGCTGAGACCCAGAGGCCTGCACCAGTGCCAGAGGCCAGAAGAAGGCATGTGGTCAGGGTGGGGTGGATGGCTCCTTCTGCTCCCTTCTGGGGTGGCCTGGGAGAGAGGGTGGCCCTGGAGCAGAGGCCAAAGCTGACAACTTCCTCCAGCTTTTACAGGCTTTTGAAAATCCTCACTGTCTCTAGTGAGGCCACAGGGCCCTCGCAGCCCGGATCTGCAACACCCTGGAACTGGGGACAAGAGGGGGCAGCTCGGTGGCTGTTTGTTCTGGAAGAACCTCACACTGTTCACAAAGGAACAAGGGGCCCTCATGCCCTTGATGGGTAAACATTCCAGGTGGGACCTGCTGGGAAACAGGAGCAGAGTGCGGCCGGCTCCCGTGAGGACTCCCAGAGTGCCGAGAGGAGCACTTCTCTCTCGGGGTTTACAAAGCATTCTGGCTCCAAAGGGTCAGTCTGGAGGAAGTAGGGTCTGGGCACCGTCAACCTCCCTGCCTGAGGGGCACGTGTGGGTTCCTGGGGCCCCAGCCCTGCCGCGCTGCTCTGGGGGCAGAGTGTGGCAGAGTGCTTACAGCTTCACAGGTGCCCTCATCCCTTCCAGGAACCAGGAGGGGAACGTGGGAGGCGTGGGGGCAGCAGGGGCCTAGAACCCAGAGTCCCAAGTCCCCACGCTGGCTATTTCCAGCAGACTGAAGATCACTGAGCCAGCAAGGGGCTGAGCCAGCATGGGACAATCTCTGCCTCTGGTGGGAGTGGTGCGGTCAGAGTGAATCAGTCTTGAGCATCCCTTGCGGCCGAGATGCAGGGGCCCAGGGCTCTGGGTGGCTTGCCATTCATTCTGGGGTGCGTATCACTGACTTGGAGAACAGTGGGCTGTAGCGGGACCCTGGAAGTGCACAAGACCATCGTCCCCTTACTCTGTGTGGAATGCCACTATTAGCTTGGATTTGTTTGTGGTGCTCACAGCTCTTTCTTTGGGGTCCCAGAATTTCTGGGCAGGTGGTGAGCTGCTCCCCGACTCCTGGGGATGAGGTAATGTGGTGAACAGAATGTGGAGGAGTTCTTGCTCTGGAGTCAGCCTGACCTGGGGTGAACGCCAGCTCTCACGCCGCCACTAGGGCCTCCCCTCCAGCCTTCAGAGGGAGCACGACCCCTCAAATATACATATATGTGTTTTTGGTTTTTTTTGAGATGGGATTGGGAAGGGGGGTCTCACTCCATCACCCAGGCTGGAGTGCAGTGGCTCGATCTCAGCTCACTGCAACCTCTGCTTCCTATGCTCAAGTAATCCTCCCACTTCAACCTTCCAAGTAGCTGGGATTGCAGGCATGCAATAAATTACCCACCAGGTAATTTATTATATTTTTGGTAGAAACGGGGTTTCATCATGTTGCCCAGGCTGGTCTTGAACTCCTGACCTTAAGTGATCTGCCCACCGCAGACTCCCAAAGTGCTGGGATTATAGGTGTGAGCCATCGCACCTGGCGTCCCTCTCATATCTTAATTTCAGACATTTCCAACTCCAGAAATATGAGAGAATACTTTTTTCTTTTCTTTTTTTTTTTTTTTTTTTTTTTTTTTTTTTTTTTTGAGACGGAGTCTCACTCTGTTGCCCAGGCTGGAGTGCAGTGGGCGGCCTTGGCTCACCGCGACCTCCACCTCCCGGGTTCAAGTGATTCTCCTGCCTCAGTCTCCTGAGTAGCTGGGATTGCAAGCGCCTGCCTTCATCCCTGGCTAACTTTTATATTTTTAGTAGAGATGGGGTTTTGCTGTGTTGGCCAGGCTGGTCTTGAACTCTTGACCTCAGGTGAGCCGCCCACCTCGGCCTCCCAAAGTGCTGGGATTACAGGCGTTGAGCTGCCGCACCTGACCCATTTTTGTTTTAAGGTACCCAGTTGGTGGCATTTTTTCACAACAGCCACAGAAAATGAACACAGGTGATGCCTGTGCTGGGTCAGGAGTCCTGGGCAGGAAAACATGCAGGAAAGCCTTGGAAAGCAAGAGGGCAGGCCAGGCTCACCATCTGCGTGATCTCCTCCAGCGTGATCTGGTTGTCACCTGGGTCCTCCTGGGTCAGAGTCCTAGGCAGGAACAAGAAGGCACGGTGAGCCCTCTTCACCTCTCGGCAGCCCTGCCCAGCTCGGGCAGCCCCGCACAGCCTGTGCTCTCACGCCCCTCTGTCCTCGCCCATCCCCATTGCCAGGAGCACCCCTTCCCCTTCCTCCTTCACACTCTTTTTCCTGACAGTCCTGATCCTCCTGCCTGCAGGAGGTGCCCTTCTGGGGCCCGTTCAGCCCTTGGGCTTCCTGTATCTGGCTGTGTGGGAATGGTCTTTCTGCCACCTCAAGCAGGGAGCCCTTGAGGGCGGGCATGTGTCTGATTCAGCCCCATAGCTCTGGTGCCAGCACGGGACTGGTCATTCGGCAGGCGTACTGGCGAGCACATGGATGGCAGGATGCATGAGAGGAAGGGAGCACAGGGAGTGGGGAGGCAGCGGCATGGCAGCCACAGGCCCAGAGGACGGACTGCCAGGTTGGAGGTGGGAGAGCAGAGGAGAGTGGTACCCACGGTGGGGACTGAGGGTGGACCCTCAAAGCCAGGCCAAAGTGCCTTACGCTCCCGGCGATGGGCTCAGAGCCGCAGCTGGCGTGTACCAACAGAGGCTGCGGACACAGGAGAGCCGGCCCTGGGCTGCGTGGGGACGGTCAGGGGCCTGCAGGCTGCTGGGGCTGTGGGGAGCGGCTCTCCGGATCAGCCTGGCACAAGGCAGGGTCATGTATATCTTACAGCTGAGGAAACGGCCCCTCAGGGAACTGCCTCACCTGGGGTCCCACAGCTGGGGCACGGTGGGCCCACACTCCAAACCGGGGCTGTGAACTCTAGAGGCAGCTCTTTCATTGCACCCAGGGAACAGGCCCCCTCCGAGGGTGGCTTTGATCAATATGCTGGGTGGGGGGGGCTCTGCGCACTCCTGAGGCCTTCCGGCAGGACTGTGAGCAGTGGCTGTGTGCACGTGTGTGCGCGTGTATGCATGTGTGTGCACATGTGAATGTGTGTGCATGTGCATGTGTGCGTGTGAATGTGTGCACGTGTGCATCTGTGCATGCGTGTGTGCATGTGTATGCATGTGCATGTGTATGTGCATGTGTACATGTGCATGGTGCGTGCATGCATGCATGCGTGTGCATGTACGGGCATGTGTGTGCATATGTGTAATTGCACGGGCAAGTATGTGTGCATGCATGTGCATGTGTATGTATGCATGTGTGCCTGTGTGTGCATGTGTGTGTGTGCATGTACGTGCATGTGTATGCATGTGTATGTGTGCATGTGTGTGTATGTGTGTGCATGTGTGCACACACTCCTGCCTCTGTGTGCACGTGTGCTGGGGCATAGGCACTGGGGGTGGGTATTGAAGATGGGGAGGTCTGAAAGAGATTCTAGACTGTGAGCCTGAGGGAAGAATGGGCCCCAGCATGGGACTTCAATGGCCTGGCTGGGGAGGAGAGCTGGGGACCCTGGACATAGGCAGGCCTTGGTGGAAAGTCTGGGGAGGCTGGGGCCAGGCAAGGGGTGAGGAGAAAAGGTGTGGCCCAAGCCCTCACACCTGGGCTGGGCTGGGAGCAGACAGGCTGAGACGGTGGGTACCCACCATCCACCTAACAGCTTGTAGAAGGGACACCCATGACCTCACCCCAGCCTTGAAGTGGGCGTTGTTCACCCATTTTATGGATGAGACTCAGAGAGGGGACTGACTCCGGTCACATGAGTCACTGGCTGAGCCAGCTCAGACATGGGGCTGCCTGACCCTGATCTCTGCCAGGAGAGGGAACGACTGAACTGAATTCAATTCAACAGACACTCCCTGAGCGCCTACAAACTAGGCCTCGCCAGCACTCTTTAATAGATCTCTGCAGTGAAGGCAGCATCCTACACCCTGTACCGTCCAGCGCAGGAGTGGCTAGTCACATGCCAGGGGTGAAGCTGACACTGCTGGGCTCATGGCCCTGAGGAACTGAATTTCACATTTGATGTCGTTTTCATTAAGATGTAAATAGCCTTGCGTAGCTAGTGCCTATCATATTGGATGGCACAGGCTAGACAGGGGTTAGCAGTGGTAGACACACGTGGAGAAGTGTGCTGGGTTCTTCCTTCAAAGAGATCAAGGACTAGTGCAGGGTGGGGAGAGGGGAAAGGACAGACGGCTCACCCAGCCCTGAGCTTACCCCCAAGAGCTCACCTCTACCTAGCACTGCTACTTGGGGCTGTCCCTCCTGCCAAGGACCCTCTTCACCTCCCTGGCCTCTGACCTGCTCACGTGGAGGCAGAAGGCAGGGCTCCTGTCCCAGCAGGCAGGCCTGAGCCAGGAAGCACACACTGCCTTTACCTGATGATGTTGGCTGCGGCCTTCCGCTCCTGCGTCAGGAGCTCTGGGTCATGCATAACTTCTTCCAGGAAGCTGATCACCTTGCATTTGAGCTCATCGTTGGTCTCAAAGTCCTGCCAGGAAGGTGTGATGGGCAGCTCTGGTTACCATTTTTGAGCTGCCCTGCAGTTTGCGCCCAGGCAGAGGAGGGAGCTGCAGTCTCTATCCTGCCTCATTTCCTTTTCGCTGGCTTCCTGGCAGGGCACGAGAGGCTCTCCAGGCCTAGAGAATCTTAGATAAAGACACTGGGGCCAGACCAAAGCCCATCCTCCAGCTGGCTGTACCCCCGGCCAGGGAGTCACAAACCTACCTGTATCCCTGCTACAGGCAGGGTGGACAGACAGAGGCCCCTCATCCCTTCCACGTCCTTGGTTCCCCTCTAGGGAATCTGAGAGGGCCCTCTCGGAACATCAGGGTGGCACACTTGAGCTCCCTCACTCCCATTGCCCCACTGTCAGCCATCAGCTCACTCTGCCCGCAGCTGCTTTTGGAAGGCAGCTGGTTCCTGGGGCCATTGCCCGGTGGGCCCCAGCAGCCTGCCCAGGGAGGGCTCCCACCCACCTGAGAGTGCTTGGACACCCAGTGGCGGAGCACGTTCAGGACACGATTGGTGGCTGCTCGGCGGATCACAAACTCCTTGTCTCCATTCCTCTGGTCTGGGGGGAACCCTGGCAGATGGGAGAATGGACAGAGGAGGAGGAGAAACAGAGCTTGGTACTAGTCTGGATTTGCCTTTCGGATCTGGCTGAGCTGGGGTGAGAGGGCGAAGGGCAGGGGGATAGTAACATATTTAACAACAAGTGTCCGCCCAATTGCACAGATGCCATGTCTTCTCAGGGGACACAGTCCATGCATGCCCAGCCTGTCCCAGACCCCTGCATCTTTCAGGAGCTGCTGGAAGGTTCAGGTAAGCTCCCAAGACAGAGCTACGAAGGCCCTCCCCAGGGATCAGAGCTCACAGGGGCCCCTACTCCAGTCTCTGCTTAGGAAGTGGGAGGTGGGAGCATGGGGAGGAACAGAGGTTCCCATGAGCAATGGGCTTTATGTCGAGTAGAAGCTGGCCAAGTAGCAAAGGGCGATGGGTGGGAAGGAAGGGGCCTCCAGGCAGGAGGGTCAGCACTGGCAAAGGCCTGCAGGGTGGGAGTTTGGGGGTAGGGTGGACGGCATTCAGTTGGGAGCTGAACGAGGAGGGGACAGGGTGGGCTGTGTCTCGATGCGCAGTGACCCTGGCTCAGGCCCGGAGTGTGTACAGAGCCCCAATAGTGCGGGGAGGTGGGGGTTGTGACCCAGCACCTCCATAAATGGAAGGCGGTGCCAAAGTCAAAATAGTGATTCGGGAAACTTCGTGTCCAGTGAGTGAGCGTAACTGATTGAAGCAGGGAGCTCCCTGGGGGTGGGTGCTTTAACAGGACCCACCTGTGCCATCGGCAGCACGCCTTAAACACCCAAAGCAGAGCAAGTCCCTGGGGCCATGCCTGCTATCACCTGCCACTGGGGCTGACCCTGGGGAGGACCCTGTGAGCGGAGACCGCCCCACATACCTGCGCTGGCTAAGGACATCCTCCGGTATTTCTCCTTGTTTGGGGTACCCTCGTTGGCCCCCGCAGTTGCTATGGCAAAGGCGGACGCGGCCGACAAGGCACTGCGGTTATTGTCCAGTTCGCGACAGGAGGTCATGACGACTCCATTGTTATAGGAAAAGAGCGGGAACTCTGCAGAGAGGAGGGAACCAAGTCTCAGCTGTCCCTAGTCCCAGCTCCTCAGGCTGTTCGAAAATCAGGGGTCCCGAGGCTAGGCCAGCCTCAAGAGCCAGCAGGCTGTCTTCAGGGCACCAGGCATGGGGGGTGGTGCTGGTGTGTGTGTGGGTCTCTCTGGGGAGAGTCACAGCCCCACGTCCTCAGGGCTGTCCCAGGCAGGGGAGCACGCTCCTGCTTCAGAGCACCCTTCTGAAGAAGGTCTCAGTCACCCTTCCATCCTTCTGCTGTGCTCAACCCCGTCACCTCTCAGGTCCAGCTGGGCACGCGCCTGCCCGAGGGCAGCGTCTTGAGTTTTCTTACCCTCTCATCTACTTGAGATTAACGCATAACCTGTCCAACGTCGTAACAATTCACACTGATGGGCTCGTGCGCTCAGTGGGACGGAGACAGGATGGCTTTTGGAGTCCAGCCACCTGAGCTGAAATTCTCCCCGACCCCCTACTAGCTGTGTGACCTTGGGCAAGTCACTTCACCTCTCTGAGTTTCAGTAATCTCCTTTGAATAATAGGGAGAAAACTTCAAAAGGTGGATATGAAGATTAAAGGTGATAACACAGATGGAAGTTCTTTGTATTAGGTAAAAAGCCATATAAATGCCATGGTCTATGACTGCTGTTAGTAATAATAACAATAAGAATAATTTCTAGTTGTACTGACAGTAGAAACCTACTCCCGAAACCTTTGATTTCATCTTGTAAGTCTCTGGAAAGCAATCCAGAGTACTTTAGACAAAGCAGCAGTATTGATGCTGTGAGGCACAGATGACATATTTTAAGGACCCCAAGCTTATTTCTGAAATGTGGCTCCCCATGAGCTCTGTTTTTGTGTCTGAGCAGCTGTGACAAGGTTGCAGTGCCTCCAGGCAGTTTCTCTCTAAAGCTATGTGACCCTGTTACCTATGGGGTTTCTTTTGAAGGCCTGGATAGTGGGGAGTTCAGGCTGCCGGCTGCCGTTTGCACGTGAGAGCAGGTGCATTGGGGAAGGCTGTGTGACGAGGGACCGCCTGGGAGGTGAGTCCCCCAGGAGCTCCCTCACACCATCAAGTATCTGAGAGCCCCCTTGTATAGCGGAAAGGGCTTTATGAAAACCGGAGTCTTTCCCCTTGTTTGAAAAACCTGGCCTTTCTCCAAAGTCATCAAGGTGATGAAAGGGACCTGCACAGAGCCTGCTTCCTGAGAAGCACCTTCTGAATCAAGATCTTCCATGAATGAGCCCTAGACACTGAGCCTCCCTCCCCTCCTGTGCTGGGTGGGCTGAAGGCAGTCTTGTTTGAAGTTGGGAGGGTGACTTGGTTGAGTTAAAGAGCAGAATCTACCCAGACAATGTCCCAATGCCCACAGTCCCTTCCCCTGGGGCGCGGGGAGGGTTATGAAATATCAGAAAAGTTACTGCTTTTAGGCGTCACTCATAAAGCATAAGGGATGACACCCACTTGCCTTCACTTGATTTGACCTGCTGCCCTCTCCCAAACTGGAAATCTATTTGTGGTTTTGAACTGGTGACTGTACCTGAAGAATTTTTGCTTTTGACTGATTTGGGTGTTGTTGGCGATTTAGTTGGTGATGTTTCAGTATCACCGTCATCACTCTGGTTTTGATCAATATCTGACTCCTCTCTCACGGAGACTTCTGAGCCTGGGAGAAAAGAGAGAAAGAATTTTACTTTTCTCCATTTTAATTTTAAAATTTAAATATTTGATTTTAAAATTTATGTCTACATAAATTTTACTGGCACAAAACAGAGTAAGCTTGGGATACAGCCGCTGAAGAAGGTTTAACAGCTTTGTTTCCCACAGGACTTATCAGAACCTTTCTCCTGCTAATGAGCACTGTCACACTCTCCAAGGTGGCTTTTTCTCCATCAGGCTTCTCAAACCTTACCAGACACACCCAGGGATCTTGCTAGAATGCAAATTCTGATTCAGGGGTCTCAGGTGGGGCCTGAGAGTCTGCATTTCTAACAAGTTCCAGGTGATGGCCATATGGCTGGTCCACGGACCATACTTTGAGTGGCACGGTCTCTTTTTCTTTTTCTTTGGTGAAGCTTCTTACTTAAGGTGACCACCATCTGGTCCAGTTTACTCTACTTTTTACCTATTGTCCCATGCCCTGGTCACTCTTAAAATGTCCTGGCTTGGACAATTAATTATAGAGGCCTCCGAATCTTGGGAGACTCATGGTTCACACACCACAGGGAAGCTGATGGATATTAAAAGCTGAAGTCTGGCACAATGAGGTCTTGATCAGAAACTCTTAACTGCTCCGTGCCTCAGTTTACCCACATAGAAAGTGGGTGTAGTTGCATGTGATCTTCTTGAGAACCCAGAGAAAGCCACAGGTCTTCTCTTTAGAAAAGAATGTCCACATGCTCACACACGCACGTGCACACACACACACACACACACAAACACACACACACACACACAGAGTCCGGCACACAATCAGGTTCATGGGCTCCTGAATCACTCGTCAAGAAGGCTGAATCAAGACAACTTCTCAGGACTGCCTTGAGTTACATTTCAGAATGTGAAATTATGAAATTTCTGGTAGGCCATTTCCTTGGCTGCTGACTGCACCACGGTGAGTGTTACTCAGTATGGAGCCTGATGGAGGGTTTATCTCGCCCCAGCTGTGCCCTCTGCTTGGCGGTGCCCTCTGCCTTCTCTCTTGCCAGCTCAGAGGAGAGAAACCCTTCTCTTGAAAGCCTGGGGCATCTGCCCAGCCCTGGGTTGCATGTGGGTGTGTGCTGCGTCCATGCTCTCGTGTGCTCACCGGGACAACGCTGGTGGCATCCAGCATGTGGTCTGATCTGATCTAAGGCAGAACCAGACCTGACGCTTTTAGAATGGTCAGGAGGAACCCGAGAATAGGGAGGCTCCAGCCTGTCCTGGAGTCATCTCCGGCCCCTGTCTCACACTCAGCATTCCAGATCTGCCTGGCATCCGGCAGCGCCCCGGAACACACAGGCCTTTTCTTGCTCCTTAATCATTCACGTCCTACTCCTATGGTCTAGAATGTTCTCCCTACCTCTTGGTAAAAATCGAGATCAAACACTTCTTCCAGTAAGCCTTCTCTGACGCCTCCAATGGTGTTCCCGCCCCAACCTCTGTGCCTCTCGAGCACCCCCTAACACATCCCATCCATGTCAGGTGTCCACACTTCCGTGTCTGCTCTGGGTCCTCAGCCAGACTGAATCCCAGGGGGCGGGAGCTACTGACGACCTCTTCCTTCCCGAAACCTGAATGTTCCTGGCCGAGGCCACGTCCTCTGCAGACACGGACAAACACAGGGATGCCGGAGGGTGCTGTGGTCGGGGCAGGGGGACGCCTGAATTGCTCATCATGGGAACTGATGCTCATCTACAATGTGGCGATGCCCTGGAGTTTTCTGCCTGCCTCCCCTCTCTGCACCTCCCGGACTCTGTGCTGCCTCCGTGATCTGCCTGGTGGGACCCCCTTCCTTCCCCAGGGGAGCAGGAAGAGCAGCCCTGAGGCCCCGTTGGACCAGGCTGAGCCTCAGCAGGGCTGGAAAGCTGGGAGGCAGATTCGACGGCATGGTCACTTACTCTGCTTGCTGAGCGACAAGGGGTCTTCGGGCTTCTCCGGGGTCGTATCACCCTCATCTGGAATCTTGTTGGTGAAGCTGCTGGACACATAGAGCTTGCTGGTGTCCAGCGTGGCCTTGCTGAAGGGCGACATGGCCGAGTACATGCTGGTGTAACCGTTGGTGTTGCAGCTGAGGGCAGCCAGGTCCAGGGCCTTGCCGCCGGTGATGATGGGGATGTTCAGGGAGAGCTTCCGCCGGCGGCTGGGTGACGACGTTTTGGTGATGGACAGGGGTGGCGGTGAGGAGAACTTGCGGGTGGCGCGCGGGGACTTGGGGGGGTCACCGTACAGAAGCTTGTTGTTCTGGCCACTGGCAAACAGGAGCTCCAGCGACCTGCAGGGAGGGCGGGGTGCAAATGACAGTCAGCGTGGGCCTGCCTGCCTGCCTGGGCCTGGGGGCTGTCTCCTGTGGGGCGTGGGGTGGTAGCAACAGACCCCTCATTCTCATGATCCCTGAAACCCAAACCTGAGCTGATCCTCTGAGCAGGGACCATGTGATTCAACGGCCTGGGGCCAAGGGTCCTGCTCTGCGCAGTCTGGGAAAGGATGTGGGGATTCTATGCTCCCCTCCCCTGCACATCCCTTCAGAGCAGCAGCGGCAGCATCTGTCCTGAAGTGCCAAGGGTCCCCTGACCTGCGCGCTGTGCGAAACCTCCCTCCACCCCACACAGGGCCTGCGCTCGCCTACACGCTCTGACCTCATCCTTGGAGAGGTCCTCAAGCATGTTTTGTGGAATGAGGAAGCTGATGCCTCCTGCTCTAAACCCAGGGTCCTTTCCACCCACCACCGGGCTTGAGCGGCCCTACATGTAAACTTAGGGGGAGGGGACGCTGAAAGT